GAGTTAACTCTGTCCTGGCTGAATCTAGCAGAGGCAGGTAACTCTCACACCTTCTCTGTCCCTTTCCTAGCCCTCCGTTTTCCAGTTTGGCTTTTAAAAGGAGATGGTTCCACATGGTACCCTTTCACTATTGCTGTAACTCAGGAAGAAGTGATAGGAAACTGCGCCAAGCAGCAGTTCACATTTATTGCTGTGGTTACTGACAGCTGATGAAGTTGGGAAAGCAGCACTTAAGTGGGCTTTTTGGCCCTAACTCATGGGTTGTCAGCTGTGGGCTCTGGTTAAACTTAAGAGGGCAAATAGATGCGCGATGGGGAATGTGCGGGTTCGCGCGCAGCCTGCGACGGCAGTGCAAACATTCGATCTGATGCTTTGATTAGGCGGTCGTGAAGTGCCTAAACCCTTTTTGTTTCCCTCATTTGCAGAACGGGGAGCTAATTTATGGCTGCAGAGATGACCAGGACTCTGTCTCCGACTGGAACGAGCTTGCTCGTCAATTAAAACCTTTCTTTTTCCCTTCCAATGGGCTGGTCAGCGGGCCGCACTGTACGAGGACAATTGTTAAAGAACTCATCCATGTTATCACTATGGCGCTGCTGAGTAGCACTGATGCCTGCAGGGCAGGTGACATGAAGACAGTTCCCATTTCACAAGGAAGAAGCTACTGTGAAGCAAGTGCTTTTAATAAGGAGCTAGTAAGAAACGGTAAGAAATGATTTCTTGAGCACTGTGGGTCATTAACTGCTACCGTGTGCCGATTCAGACCATCGCTGTTCAGCGCCAACATAAGAACAGAGTGGAGTGTTAGTGACGTTGTACAAGTGAGTTCTGAGCAGCTTGACTGCCAGATGGCCGGTTGTCGTACGAGCCCGTAGCGAGTACCTTCAGCACTGCACCTAGTGCCAGGGAGAGAAACGAATTCAGGAGGTGGCAGAAGAACAATGGAAGAAAACACCAGGGGTTTGGAGTAAGATGTAGAGGCTCAGGCCAGGGGTGTTGTTCTGCAGTCGGATGTATGCTCTTCCGGTGTGCACCTGGCACACTGGTGTCTGCAGTCTGAGGTGTTTTGGTTTGGGGTTTTTCCCCTGCCTGTGATTGGTCTACAGAGTATTTGGATCCGCTTTGAGAACAAGTGCAGGTAGGGGCAACGTGAAGTGGACACTCGCCCGTTTCTGCCTCATTTGAAAATACATTTTCTTCTAGGTAAACATAAATTGGAAAGCTCTGGCTTACCAAGGGGTTGTCTCCTTTATAAAACCCTTCAGGCTCAGATGCTTGACATGCTGGACATTGAAGGACTTTATCCTTTGTACAGTAGAGTTGAACAGTACCTGGAGGAGTTTCCTGAAGAGAGGTAAGACGTGGTGGCTTGTCTTTTCAGCTGTGATGAAGTGGGTATGCAGCCACAGCCGTTCGTTCTGTCGTTGCACGTAACCTTCCTTCACGGAAGGCGTATGCTGAATTTCTGCCTTGAAAAAGATGAGCTTCGTTGTGACGAGTTTTGATGTCTGTCGCTTTGACCTGCATTTTAAAATAACGATTATGGGAAGCTCACAACAGGGTAAGAGAGAAAAATGCCCCTTTTCTTAGTAGCGGAGGTTGTGTATTTCAGGGAAGATACAGCGAAAGTGGTGGTTGGTTTCTCCCACCTTCCGCACCTGCAGAGCTGGGTTATCTCAGCCACAGCCGTGTGTTTTACGCTCATCCTCACGTCTGTTGGCCCACCTGCGGCCGCCCCAGGAACGCCTGAACTTGGTGTTCAGCACATAACCCTGTGCGTGCCCGCAAGAGCTTGCAGGCGGCGTGAGTGGATAGTGGCCCTTACAGTTAGCCTGCCTTTGCGTGATGAGAATAGCGCCAAATGCCAGAGCAACCCGTGTCACAGGTGATCAGATCGCACCTGAGGCACAAGAGTGTTTACCTTACGGTATTGCCTTCCCGGTGAGGAAATCCTGGGCATTGCAAGCTGCCACGTTTGTTCCCAAAGGACGCTTTGTCAGCGCTGTAGCAAGCCTTGACCTGGATGCCTCTGACATAGTCGGGCTGTAATTCTGCCGTTGCTCACGCGGGGGCACGCTGGCTTCACTTGCCAGAGGCGTCTGCCTGTGCTCCTTCGGCTCCCCTGGGCTGCCCTTGGAGCCGAAGGTTATCTTAGGGCGGTGGGTGGGCCTTGAGCTCGCCTTAAATCACTTGCAGTGCGGCCTATTCGGGTATTTGGTCATGAAACAGTTTGAAGATGGAGTCTTGCCTGGGCGTGGGCGGTGTGTGCTGTACACCCTGCTGTGATGGGAGCAGCTTTCAGCAGTTCAGGTGTCGAGTGTGGGAAGGAAGGAGGCCAAACAGGCCGCCCCGTTGTTAGCGCACGTTGGAGCAGGGGCTTGGCCTTATCAGGAAAGAGTTGACCCCCGGTGCTTTCAGTAAGGCTGCTGGGTGGGAGCTCCTTTGAAACCCGTTTTTGCAAAAAGTGCTGGTCTTGTAGCGATAAATGGGTGGCAGTGGGTCAGGAATGATTTGTCTTAAAGAACCAAACCCAACCAACCCCTAAACAGTGCACTGTAAGCAGTACAAGTATAACAGGGCTCCTGGTATTTGACCTCGGAGTATTAACCTGTTGCCATGTTGTCGGTGTTACTGGTTTTTCTGAGTTTCTGGGCTGCTAAGAAAGATCTCAGTGAAAATCGGGAAATCATCTCGGCTGTCTGTAAATCCTCTTTCAAAATCTATTTAGAAGTACGTTACAGATAGATGGACCTTACAACGAGGCGTTTTATGAGAAGCTGCTGGATCTTTCTACCGAAGACGATGGGACGGTAGCTTTTGCGTTAACAAAGGTACTTCCCTGTGCCTGCTTAGCCTGTCGGTTGTAGTAACCTCCCGTCTAAGGGAGACGGGTGGAGCTTGTCAGCGTCACTGCTGGTGTGTCAGGGGTGCGTAGGGTTGAAGTCCTTTGTTGTGCCAGGGTGTATCTTTGTGGCAGGAGCAGTTAAACATGTTTAGCACCAGTTCTTGGGAGACATACAGCTGGTTATTTCCTTTTTGGACTGAGGAAGCATTTGCATGAACCAGTGCTGTTGTGGCCTTCGAGAGAAGTATTTGTAGGAAATAAACACAACTCCTAACACAGGATGCTGTCACACCACTTGCTCCTGTGAACCATCTGCTGCAGAGATGGATTCCAGCTTTTAAAATACCAACAGAGAAGGAGAAGGACTTGGGGGTACTGGTAGATGAAAAGCTGAACATGAGCCGGCCGTGTGCGCTGGCAGCTCAGAAAGCCAACCGTATCCTGGGCTGTATCCAGGGAAGTGTGGCCAGCAGGTCGAGGGAGGGGATTCTGCCCCTGTACTCTGCTCTCCTGAGACCCCACCTGGAGTGCTGCATCCAGCTGTGGAGCCCTCAACATCAGGAGGATATAGACTGGTTGGAGCGAGGCCCGAGGAGGCCACAAAGATGATCAGAGGGCTGGAGCACCTCTTCTATGATGAAAGGCTGCAAGAATTGGGCTTGTGCAGCCTGGAGAAGAGAAGGCTCCAGGGAAACCTCATTGCAGCCTTCCAGTACCTGAAGGGGCCTGCAAGGAAGCTGGGGGGGACTTTTTCCAAGGGCCTGTAGTGACAGGACAAGGGGGGGAATGGGTTTAAATTGAAAGCAGGGAGGGTTAGGTTAGATATCAGGAAGAAGTTCTTGACGGAGAGGGTGGTGAAACACTGGCACAGGTTGCCCAGAGAAGCTGTGGATGCCCCATCCTGGGAAGTGTCCAAGGCCAGGCTGGATTAGGCTTTGAGCAACCTGGTCTAGTGGAAGGTGTCCCTGCCCATGGCAGGGAGGTTGGAACTGGATGGGCTTTAAGGTCCCTTCCAACTCAAACCATTCTGTGAGTTTATGAACAAACTAATATAACTGAGTGCATGAACTCCTTTGGTGAAGAATAGTGTGCTTTCCTACAGCAAACACAGACCTGCTAGCTGATTCGTGTTCATTTGTGTAGGTGCAGCAGTACAGAATAGCCATGACTGCTAAAGACTGCTCCATCATGATTGCCCTGTCGCCCTGCCTACAAGACGAATGGTAAGAGCTTGTGACCCAACGCTCCTGCTCGGTTCGATGCTGAAGGTGCATCTGCACCTCGGTTCAGTCAATTCAAGTAACCACTTAAACAGTAGGCCGGGGGAGAGGGGGAGGGGAAGTGTGTCCAAATATTTGGCTGTGAACATACACTGTGGAGTTGTGATTTAAGACATTTAGGACAAATGTCTGTTTCTGAAGAGTTTTAAGTTGATACAAAGGGTTAAGGTTTTAGATTGACTCCCTTCTTGAAGTCTGAATTGGCTGCTCGTAGTAGAGGTACATGGCTTTAACTAGTTCTGCCTTGGTGCCCTCCTATGAGTTGCCTTTAGCTGCCTAATTGGAGTAAAACCAAGGCACTAATCAAGAGGTGACAGCTTTAACTGCAAGGCAGGAGGCTTTGCCAGTTGTGTCAGCGATGCTGGCTGTGTGTAGGGGAGTTGGCTCTGCCCAAGCCTTGTTCTGTTAATTTTAGAGAAGAGTTGTCTGCCTTTGCCCTGTAATTCTAGAGTAAAATGTTTGTGATGGAGATGACTTGTTCAACGGTTAAGTCCTCTGACCTTCAGCATGCTGGGACACTAGTTCTGATGCTGAGTTAGCATTACCTTGCACCCAGGTTGGAGGTGCAGTGGTTGTTTCGGCCTCGGCTAGGTGAGGTGGCCGTCGCTTCGTACGGATACCACTGAAACAGCAGACTCGCTAACTATGGACACAGCAATTGAGAGGAAGGGTTTGACTTAGGCTGGGTGGAAGATGAAAGGAAAGCGACGGCACCAGCAAGTTCACTGACTGGTTAGGCTGGAACTGTAGTTTCCGAACGGCTATGTTAGTGGAAGTTTATTTTCTTAGGCTCCCCTGAAAATGGTAAGGTGAACATTAGAGTGATTTTTGCAAGGGGCTGGGAGTACACGGATGGGAAGTGTTCGCTTCAGCAACTCAGATACGCAACGCGGTTTTGTTTTCCAGCTCGGAGCAAAGACCTGTGGTACTAACGTCCAAGTCAAGGTTCACCTTTTCAGTTTCTGTCCTGGACCTTGATCTAAAACCGTATGAAAGCATTCCCCATCAGTACAAACTGGATGGCAAGGTAGTAAACTATTATTTGAAGAATGTACAGGCCAAAGATGACCCAGTGATGTCCAACCTCTTCACGGAGAACGAAGACTGCACATTAGTCTTCCATAAAGTGTAACTGTCTCCGTAAGGCTATTTTTATTGGAACACATTAGAAAGAGAAAGATTAATGGGATACAACTATGGTAATTTTTGTTTTCTACCGTGTTAAGTGCATTTTCCAGCTGTGAATGTTCTTGCTTTACGATTTCTGATTGGTATGCCTTTTCAGAGACATGGAATAGCACTAAACCACGCGTTAGCTGTATAACCTTAATGAATGTACTTAATATGACAGAGCAGGTAACGTGCCATACCTTGGAACTAGAGGACAGATCAAATTAATACTAAAAGTCTACTTCTTAGAACTGAAAGAGCACAGAATTAAAGGTTTCCTGAAGTATTGCACTAACATAGAGAGCCTCGTTACTAACAGAAGGGCCGTGGAGCTTGCTCTGCATTGCACTCGGACCTGTGAGGAGGACGCAGGCTCTGACAAGAGCTAATGTAAACCTTTAGCATTAAGCCCGCTGAAGCCGCAGCCGGAGGGGCTGCTCAGGCGTTGCTGATCCGTGGAACTGCCGCCTTGCCGCAGAACACTCACATACTTATGTGTGAGGTTAAGGACACCAGGCTGCCTCCAGACTGTGATCGCCTTGCATTTGCCTAAAGCTTCTGAGGCTAAGTGAGAAGGGTTGAAGGTAAGCGGTGTTGCATTTTGTGTGGTAGCTGGGCTTAACTCGCCTGACACACCAGTCCTTTGTTTTCTGTACATTATATGCTGCTATTGAAGGTGAAACCACAGCTCGCTCGTACCTGATTTAAATTGAGCTCTAAGAATAATACATTGTGACTTTTACAGCTTATTTCAGGTCTTTCAGCATGTGTAACGTAGGCATTACTTCACTGGTGTCAGACCCACACGGCTGGTCTCAGGCTCGTCCTTTACAAGGGACACAGAAAAAAGGTGGGAGTGTCCAGTTGTGTGTTCTGAAGCTGCAGCTGTCTCATGACGAGTACGGAGCTCAGCCTGTATCACTACTTCAGCAACCGACCGGTGGCTTTACTTTGTCAACGTTGGTATGCAGCTGAAGCCTGGGGAGGTGTTGCAGTAACAGCCATCCTCAAGGAGATCCTGAGATCAAAACGGAGGGTAGTATGGTAAAATCTGTGCTTTGCCTGTACTCTTGGGGGTGACACATCCTGAAATGGGCGGAGGTGCTACTTGAGCCACAGTGAACTGCTGTTGCCTGGATGCAGTGTGTCCTTACTGGTAATGTTTCTCTAAATGATGTAGGTGAACATTTAAAAAAAAAGTACATTGGGATCTCAGTGTAATGTTTGAATTGCCCCACTGTACCTGAAATTCAAAGAGCAGAGCGAGAAAACCCTGCACGCTGGCACCACTCCAAGCTGGAGTATGAGATGTGGAGTAACTCCACTCACACAGCAACAGACGTTTGCCGAGGGCAGTGGCCACAGACTCTTGCGTTCCGCTTCCAGGTGCCTTTCTGGGACAGTGTCGTGGGCTGTGCTCACTGAAACGTGATAACTGCAACGGTGCAATAAGCTGGTAGTCGAGAGTGGTCAAAACCCCTTCTTTCCAAAGAAAACCTGGGGGTAGAGCTAATTTGAAATGTGGAATTCCTCCAGCTGTTAGGCCAGAGGAGGAAGGACGGATTGTCTGCAGCAGGAAAGCTTTCAGGTTTCTATGCTATAAATAGCAGTGTACGTGCTGAGCAAGCAGCTGCATTTTCATGCAGGGCGTAGATAAAGGTTACACAAAACTAGCAAAACCAGTAGCGTGTCAGTGAGTAAAGTAGCAATGAATTTTGCCTGTCTACTGGATTCCAAACTTGAAAATTGTTTGCCTTATCTAATGAGCTACTTTTAGAGATTTGCTGTTCATCGGAACTTCACCTCTGGCACTGCTCAGCTGTATATGCTGACAGAAACCAGTCTGGTCTGTCGGTTTTTCCTGACCTACCAGAACTGTAGGAGACTATTTCAGTGATTAAATAGTGGATTATTAAAATTAGCATATTATAAAACATCCTGTTGCTTTAGTTCCTGATTTCTCCACCTGTTCCACCATTGCTATAAACCACGTGGCCATAACCTATGGCTGGAGCAGGCAGTTGTGCTGCTCGTGTGGTTCTAGCCGCTGGGGACGTGCGAAGGAAGTTCCCTGCTCCAGAGCCTGCAGCGGGCGGGTTTGGCCCCTTGATTCCAGAGCAGAGCAGCTGTTGCTCCCTCCCTGAGGAGGCCATGACTTGCAGCTGTATAGGTCTGGTTTGGATAGGTCTTTGGCGGTGAGAGCTAGTGCAGAGCGCTCCTGAAAACTGCCGAGCTCACGGAGGAGCTAGCAGTACCTCTGAGGGAAGCGGAGGAAGACTGCGAGACTTCTGTCTAACCTGGCTTGTGTCTTCAGGGACGAATGTACAAATGTGATGCATTTGTAATGTGTTACCTACTAGAATTCCCCCCTAGAAGTAGGAAATCAGGATGAAATGCTGCAGCGAGCAGTAGTTGACTCATCCATCTCCCTACAGAAGTGTGCGGGTCCTTTCTTGTTTAGTTTAACGCTGTCTCTGCTCAACACATACGTTGTGGGGAGAAGTTGCTTCCTACAGTTACCCTTTGCTTTTTTTACCACAGTATGTCTTTGACATCTTCAAACTGTCTCCTCCCACCCTAATCTACTGAGAAAGCTATTGAACTCTTTGTTCAAGGAGTCTCTTACTGTTGTCCTGTCATTTTAAAATCACTGTACTTTTACAGAGCTGTGAAATGAAATGGGTTTTTATGGACTTGATTTTGACAGTGCATGATCTTTTAACACTTTCCAGGTATCTAGAAAATGTTAAGAAGATAAACCACTCTGGTACATTAATGATTCAGAAAGATAAATTTATAACGAAATCACTCTGTACATGTAACTATTTTATTTGGCATTTTTGTATTTAAATGGCTGTATTTATTTTCATGTCATGACAATTTATATATAACGTGCCATAATTGTACAGATAGCATGTTTTATGAGTATGGTTTCTAAATGGAAAATAACTTAATGTTTATATTCAATAAAATTATAGACAGTGTAACACAATATCTTAATTAAAACTACTTCTGGAATGGCTACTTGTCGTAAGTCACGCTGGCATGCAGCTTCCCGAGCGAAGGGCCGTGATCAGGTTCTCCAGAGCTGTCTCGATCCCCAACAGACGCAGCATGCTGCGGAAGCGGGCGGGTGCAGTTTCAACAGTTGCCATCTTCCGCTCCAAGACTGCAAGGAAAACACACATGGGGGCCGCGCTGTTGGGGGAGGGGGCTGCGGGGGCTGGGCAAAAGAGGTTGCCCCTCTCTGGAAGAGAAGGGGACACATGCTGCTGTAAGCCCTTTTCTGTTACGGGGGGGGGGGGGGAAGCTTAGGACATTGCTGTGCCTGTGGGGGTCTGCAGGATGGACTGCCGTTGTCTCTCTAGAGGTACATCGGCCACTTAAGGGGACAGGCCTTCTACGTGAAGGCTCCAAAGTGAATGACGTTACCTTGCTCCGGTACTTTGGTCAGAAGGTCCAGAACAGGTGTGATTCTCCCTTCTTCATCGATGTGTATCTTCCAAACAATCATTAACTCAAACCTGTGTCACGTGCACAGAGAAGTTAGGTCAGTGTTAAGCAGGCAACCGCCTGTCTTTAAGGTTTCTTCAGAGCAGAAGGTAGAACACCCAGGAGATGCACATCTCCTACAAAATTCCCCTCAGGTAGTGCATCTGTATTTGAGAATCAGAACTACGGATCTGCTGACCCAAGGAAAGCGGGTAATCTGTTGACAAGGAACGGCTGTTTCCCCATTTCCAGGTACATTCAATTTGTCAACCTCCAGGATTTTTCCCCCTGCTTCTTCCCTTTGTCTCTTCTGGCTGGTGAGCTGCTGTGGTGCGAGGGTACAAAGTAGGGCGGGAAAGGGAAGGAAGCACGCTTCCCGCGCGCCAGGCCCTCATGTGCTGTCTGCACCCTGGGGTCAGCTGTTGTGCTAGGCACAGCACGGAAACCCTGCAGAAGTGTTTCCTGAACAGTGATGTTCTGGGTTTGGAGTAAGGTCCCTCCCGCTGCCTTTTCAGAATAACGCACAGGGATAAAAGTACCCAAGGCCTAGGTTCCAGCATTTGTTTGCTTTGAATTTAACAAAATCTTAACCATGCTTACTCCTTCAAGGACGTTTTTGCAAGGCCCACGATTATTTCCAGCTTTCGCAGCAGGACAAGATCACACACAGGGAAGAGACGGGCAGCAGCTTCTGCAGGGGAAGGGTTTCTGTGGGGTGCACAGAGGCAGCTCTAGAGCGACATTCGCAGGAGACGTGCTGCTTGGTAACCTGCATTCTGCATTCCCTTCCACCACCTGCTCTGAGGCGTGTTCCTCACTGGAAGCAAGGCTTTCCTAAGCCCAAGGTCATCGGCACAAGGACAACTCACAGCCGGGAGGACATCCCTTTTTCTCAGTGTCTGAACAATCACAACTATAAAAGCTTCCCTTAAAGTCAATTTGTCAGCCTGTTGCCACCTCAGTGTTAAAAATCCTTTGAGAATTCGTGCACAGCTTGTTCTGGGAATTGCAAACAAATGAACATGCAAATGTATTTTCTACCAACCCACAGAAGTGCTTTTGGATTTCATGTTGTGGGTGCAAGAGAACGTGCAGTGGAACTTGGCACCTGCCGGCAGAGAAGCTGTAAACCAAAGCCTCTTGTTTTCTCATTGGTGGAAGGACACGCTGAAGCACTGCGCTTTCCACGGCCCATCTGGCTAAACCAAGGCAGCGCTCTAGCATTTGCTAGTTCCACAAACAAATGGGATGGAGCTGTGCTTCATTTCCACTTCTTTCCATCTAAGTTAGGGGATGCCATAGTGAAGACGTAGTAGGGGGAAGGAATCACAGAATGGTTTGGGTTGAAAGGGACCTTAAAGCCCATCTAGTTCCACCCCCCCTGCCATGGGCAGGGACACCTTCCACTAGACCAGGTTGCTCCAAGCCTCATCCAGCCTGGCCTTGAACACTTCCAGGGATGGGGCATCCACAGCTTCTCTGGGCAACCTGTTCCAGTGCCTCACCACCCTCTCTGGGAAGAACTTCTTCCTGATATCCAATCTAAATCTCCCCGCTTTCTTCACAAGATACTTTCCTTGGTCCTTACGGAATTCCTGACGATTACATTGTCTGACACGCAACTTCAAGGGTTTTTTCTCTATGTACAAGCACAAACCTGCCAGGACATGGGAGCCCAGACTAACCCAGCGCATGCACTAGAGTAATAACAACAAAGGGCAGTGCACGATTCCCTTTCGGCATCTGATTTCCTTCTAAAACAATGGAAAACCAGCTACAGTTGCTTTCAGTGGGAACCGCAGCTGACTTTCCATTCTGCAGTGGAAGGCCAGAGCAGGGGCTTCGGGTCAGCGACGTGTGGTCACCGCACCTCCTCCCACAGGCAGCGGCAGGAGCTGTAAGTGACGGCTGGCACGCTGCATTGGCCCCTTCCATCAGGCCCGGGGTGGAAAACCCTGCGTTATCCCAGAGAGGACAGTTGCCAGTGGCCCGCCCTGACACACCAAGGGGGTTGTTGGCTTGTTCTGCCCAGTGCTCTGTCATGTCACACAGGAAGGAAACCAAGATGGCACAAATCCAGCTGAACCCGGTCTTCTGGTGTGCGAGAGGGAGGAGGCATCCATCCCACATTGCTGAACTTTGAATTGAGACTCTTCACTGCAGCATGAGCTTCCAAACCCAAGGTACTAATAGAGTATTATTTTTTTTCCTTAAAATGCAAATGAAAAGCCTGCTAGAGCCCTTCGTCTTTCCCACCTAGCTTTGTAGATGAGTGGGCACACACAGTCATACCATCAACTGACTTTCCTCCAAGGCCACCTGCATGGAGCCTGTACCTATATTTTTTGGTCTTTTTGGTGTTTTTTTTTTCCTCCTTATGTTTTTAATGTGTGGTTATAGCCCTAAAATGTAACAGACACGATCTAATCTCTGTGACTGAGGCGTTAACAAAGCAAAGAGCGACAATAGCAGACCAATTACCTACAGATGTTCACCATTCATTTCACAATTCTTTATCTGCATAAATCAAGAAATATATTTATTGGCTTACCCAGGAATTCTAGGGTTCCTTAGAATTATATAATCTCCCAGCAGTCCTTCCGGAAGGGTCACAATGTCGGGATATTTGGCCTGTGAAAAAATGGGTTCGAAAGGGCACAAATTATGTCACAGAAAATCATTGTAGCCAAGGTGATTTCTGGCTAGTGCTCTCCAGCTGCCATGGATTTTATTAGCCTGCATCTCTAAGAGTAACAATACTCGTTTAAAATTCTGACAGCTTTGGGTTTTCTTTTTTTTTTTTTTTTTAAGTTCTGGTTGCTTGGGGTTTTGGGGTTTGGAGTTTTTTCGTAGTGTCATGCATATGGTATCAAGAGATGCTGAAATTTGGTCACCCCAGAGGAAAACCCAGTCTCGTGCACTTGTACAAGCAGGCCTTAGAGGACCCTGTGCAAGGCCTAGGAAATCCTGAAAGAATGCTGTATAACTAAGTTGTGTTAATGTGATTTACTAACACTGTAACACATCACCATTTCACTAGCACACCCCCAAGATTTAAATAACCTTGCTAGTACACTTGGATGTGACAGTCCTTTTGCAGAAGTGGATCACCAAGTTCCATACAGTGTTTTGAAACATGACATAACCAAGGCACTGAGATACCAAAATAACCACTATTATCTAAATTCAGCGGGGCAACAGAAATGTTTTATGGTAAAACATATAAAGCCACTGATTCCTGTTAAACTTCATCTTACTGGGACTTGGTTGCTGCAGCCTGCAGGGACACGCGATTGCAAAAGGCAGCAGAGCCTTCAGCACTGTTACTCCCTGGTACTGCCTTACGTACTGCATACAGAGCTGTGTGCCAAAAATGGCAGTTTATAAAGTGTGAAACGCCTGTCAGCCCAAATCCCTCCACAGCGCTCACGGGGCAAGTGGTATGTCTTGGGGAAAAGGAGCAGGAGAGCTCGTCTTTGAAGGGCACTGGAGAGAACGAGCTGGGTTTGATGGGATTACGCCTCATCTGGCAGACTGAAATTGCTACCAGATGTGACCTTGCTCTGGTTTAGGAATCTGTGACAAACTGAAGGGGTTTGTGCAGAATGCCAAATGACATAAACCACATGGAATTTGCCAGCTTTAATTTCTACAAAGTATCTAGTACTGTATTTACTATGGGGATAAAGACCATGATCTGTCCTGGGGATGGACACTCAAGGCACAGCCCAGTGCACGGGAGCTGCCGCATGAAGACATGGCTGACCTAAGGCCTCTTGCCTAGCAGAGCAGCCATCTTTTTACAGCTTGACTCCCTGTGGAATTAGGCTCCTCTGATGACAAAATTCAACAAGTTTTTCAGGCTTTCCTTCCCAATAACCCAGGTCTTTAACCCATTCACGACATGCGTTTGTCTGGTATCACAGGGCTGCGAGAACCTCGTGACCTCTTTAGCTCCACGTCGCGAGTATTAGAAATTTAGGATTAGCTTTTCATCTGAACATGACTCTTAGTTCCTCATTTACAAGACATCCCATAGCTAAACACTGAGTCAGGTTTTATCTTCATCCGCCCATACTGAGGCCTTTGGGAATCACAAGAGAAAAATAGGCCAGAGGCACCAGAGAAGAGTTCCAGTTTTCAAACTGCTGGGAAAGGCACCCATGGCTTGTGTGGGAGTTCCTGCATAGCTGCCGTGACCAGTGCATTTACCCCCAGCAAGTATGTGTGTCGTGCAGGAACCAGGGGTATCTCGAGGAAATCTCCAAGCGCATGATTCCTGAGCTGTGATTTAGCCTGCCTGTACCTTGGAGATTGCGCGGGTGAGCTCTGCGCGCGGGGCAGGACGCAGTTATTCCGTGCCTTCGCTAGAAGCCAGGGCTTTGGCAAGCGGTCTGAATGCTGTGAGAATCTGATCTTGTGTGAAATTCACAGGATCTGGGACAAAATCCAGTTTAGCAGGAAAGATCATATTTTAGCAAGCCACAAAACACACCTAAAGCCGAAACACAAATACCCACGTCTCCTAAGGCGTGTTACATGCTAAAACCAACGACCAGCAGTGGCACACGGCGGCACCCAGGGAAGGACGCGTGGCTGCCCGTCTCACCTAGAGATATGTGCAGCAGGGGTGGGAAGCAAAACTACGGCACCCAGGACTGAGTGAGAAGTGTTAACCACTGACAGTTTAGGGAAAACCCCAGGAAATGCAGTCCCACAGGCCACCTTCCATATCCCACATATGAAGCATAACATCTGTATCCCACAGGTAAGTGGAAATCCAGGCACACTGTATGCACACACTGCCACCGTCCCGACAGGACGACAGTTCCAAACACACTTTGTGGGTAGCAGATCAACACCTCATATTCTTTGCTGTGCAACCTTTATAAGCTTTCCCCAGGGAAAAGGAAAGCCGAGCAATACACAGGGTAACGGAATGACCTGATCCACTGGAAGGTCTCTTGGGAAAGTCAGTAACTCCTATGGGATCTCGTGAAGAGGAGAGCAACATCAAGTAGCGCGATGCCAGATGGGAAAGATCAGCTACAACTGTATTAAGCAAAACCTGCCTTTAATCAAGAAATATCTTCCCTCTGATGACTTTTAAATGTCAGTTTATGGTCAAACCCAAAAGCTCATGCTATTATTACTTCTGGATGGAAATGGTTTTTCCAGCTCCTTCAGGAGTCCAAGCAGGGAATCTTATGGGAACTTTTGTCTAAGCCAGAAATAGTCTCAAATCACAAAGGGACGACCATCGGGACGGAATACACCATCTTCCCTTTCTCCCATGGCAGATCTCACACACACAGAGCACCACCTGAGTGAGTAAACCTGTAGTATCTATCTTTAAACAAAACATGCTGTTCTTCAGCTGTTTAAGGCTGCATTGCCATTTTCTGCACACTAACACTCTTCTACAGAAAATGGTTTAAGTCACTCGGCTTGGGAGCCATCACTAAGAATGCAAAGCTAAATTGGCAGGGCAGAAGCTGTACTGAAAGCAGACAAATTGGCTTCTCACCCACTTACTGAGAAAACATGCTACTCTGCTCTTAGACGGAACAGCAGTTCACGCTCATGGCTAATTCTGAACTTGGCACTCTGCAAGAAGTACACAAAGAGTGAAAAGCAGCTCATGCTGCTCAAGTCCCTCCATAGGCGTCAGCTACTTCTAAATCTACCACAGATGCTCCACTTAGGCTCTGATTCAGGGTGATTTATATGTGTGTTGTGCTCAGCTAAGGCCACAGGATCATCCACTGAAGTCATACACATGGTGGTAGCATCGAGGCCCTAAATAACATCAACATAAGTTCAGCAAATCAAATGCAAATTATTTGCAAAAATGGTGATAATTCTAGACAGTGTAGAATACCAGTAACAACATGATTGAATTCCAGAGGGATTACACAGTCAAACCCAGTGCCACCAGTCTCCTATGCACTGCGAGAACTACAGTCAATCCGTCAGGTAGCCAGCGTGGGAAGCCATCACAGGGCACTGTCCCCCGACTTGGGGAGACAGCCTGAATTCAGTGTAGCTCCACGCCCCAGCGACCTCCTTCTCTGGTTTTAGCAGAAACCTGATTTTTAAATTACAGTAGTCTAAGATAACAACAAAAGGAATCATCTTACTGTTGCCGTGATCAAGCCCAACAGATACGTAAAACCAGCAGCAATCACCAAGCTACGAAATGAATGTGAGTGCAGCAATTACATTTTTGGGAATTAGTTTGTATTTCTCCTTGACTAAGCCTCCTGCTAGCAGAGATAACTACAGTTCCATTTATGAGATCTGGTCTCACCACCAATCTGTCCTTAATGCACACTGCTAAAATGTTTGGTGCTAACTTCACCAAGGACTCTCATCCTCGATCTCATACTACGTTAATCTGCCATAAACGCAACGCCGCATATTCATTTTCAACCAATTATCATCCTAAAAGTGTAATTTACATTGCTTTGATGAGTTTCGTTTTTAGATATTGGACAATAATGGATTTCAGTTAACTAAAACATTTTACCCTGTAAGGCAGCTGTCACCAACATGAACTTGTAACAAGGATTTATACTTTCCTGTATTTTTAAAGCATGGTGGCAAGCCCTAAGTCAATGCGAGATTTCTCTGAGAAATGTAACTTGCCTGGCACCAGCAGGCACTTCTCAGACTTCCACAGATATGACAAAACAGTCTGCCAATACAAATACTCAAGAAATGAAAAGGAAAGGCATCCTATTTTCCTGTCCTTTCCCCCCTCTCCACTGCTCGACTGGGCAAGAGCAGCACTGTGTAACTTGAGGTGCACTCAAAATCGGGATACAAGGGTGAAAGAAAAACCCATAATGGAAGCAGATGAAGATGTATAAGATAGCCATGGTTTTGAGAAGGTTTTTGTCTCAAAGTTGCATTTTTTGAGACTACTTCTGAACCGAAAGTCAACAGGAGAAGTCTGGAACCTCCAGAACACGCCAG